ACAGTAATTGTAGAATCAAACTAATACTCGTAATTTAATATGTCTCTGACAAAGGGGAGAATGCAAATGAAAAACCAACATATAGTACTTTGACACTGAGTAAAAACCACTCACCATTCATATTATGATGAATCATGACCTGAAATGACTCAGAATGCTTTTTTTTAAAAAAAAAAGAATTCAAATTCTGAAGCACAAGTCATTTCAAAATATTAAATGAAATAATAATTTGTTCTTTTTATGCAAAGGAACCCTCCAATTGGAAACCGAACAGAGCCAACATGGTAACGTATGCCTGAATCTCCTCACAGCTTGAAGCTAATAGCCTGGAGGAGATGAACTCAACAGCGCATTAGATCCAGAGAATTTATTCAGGTATGCTTACAAGGAACAAATTTCACCAGGAAGAGTCAACCAAGGTCCAAGTAGGTCAAATTATACGCCTCAATAAACAAATTCTCAATCACAAGCTTTTAAACAGTGGGAACTCAGGGGCCAGTCTTTATTTGCTGCAGCAAAAAGTAATGTTTCTCCACATTCCAGATGTTATCATAAGAATGAGTTAAGGGCTTCTGTGCTTTACAGATGATTACCCATAAACCCAAGAGACTACCTCTATGCATTACTTCACTTGAATATTCTGATGCCTAGGCAATTGTCCTTTTTTCCTTCAATATATGCATTTGTATTGACTTTCTATAGATGCATATATGCTTAAAAGAAGTCAGTGACCACTTTAAAATTGTTCCCTCCCTGAAATACTTACATACTTTCAGAATTATTTTCTACTCAGGAAAGAGTACCTTTGGAAGCTTTCAATTAGAAATCCAACTCTGTTTTTAAGCGCCCATAAAGTATGTTATTTTCTGAAGCATTATGTACTTGTAGGCCTTAGTGATGCTGAAACAGCGATATCAGATCCAAATGTGACCTACTTTTGAGGCAGAAAAGTTATGTTGAGGCTGGTCTGTTGGAGTGCTGTCCAGTCCTCACTGTCTAGGGCCCACTGTACATGTGTCCCATCTGCAACCGTCCATATTAGCCCTTACAGCACCTCTAAGGCTGTACAGCTGAACACAAATACATAGAAAGACAACCTCTTCTTCTATTAAACCACAATCAAGAATCATCTGCCTGTCCCCTCACTCTTGACAGCCCAAGCACCCTTTCCCATGGAATTGCACATATTTATCAAAGCTTACTCACTTCCAATGTGTATCAAACTGCTGACTGGAGAAGTACAAATGGAGAAGAGACCAAGTCTGGGGAAAGGTGTGGAATTTGGGATCAGAGGACTCTGAATCAGAAGACAAGACACTGGCTGGCATATATCACATACTTCAATTGAACATTTTAGCCTAAAGATATTGGCAGCACTTAAGCTACTAACCTATTACAGGACTAGCACTCCAACTATTGTGAAACTGACTTTAGAATTAGCCCAAGATAAGCCTGGACCATTTCTCAAGTGATTGACTAAACCAAGTACAAAAAGGAATCAGCCAAGTTCTTCACAGACCTGAGTTCAAATTATTTCAGAAATCTGTTAAGTTTCTCTGAAAGTCAGTGACACCTCTTAAGATTACATCACTCCTATTGTCAAATACCATTTTTGAAAGAAATTAAGCTTTGAATCAATGGTAATAAAATTTCCAACATTAAGTCCTGGGTTTAAGGGAAGAAACACAGAGCATTTTCTGATGGAGGGTAACTAAAACTGACCCTAGGAGCTGGCTGGTTATCCCTTCAAAAAGGCAGGAAACACTCGTGAGAGAACAGAATCTAAGGGCAGAAAAAAGGAAGCCAGTTCAGTTGCCTGCAAAGCAAGGAGGCAGCCAGAGGGGTCTAGTCTCAGTTACTTTATAAATCTTTCAGCTATCAGGGGTGTGATCCTGACAGTGTCAAAGCCAACACAGACCTGAAACACATACAGGTTCCTACATGTTACCTTTTCTGGATAGGATATTCTGCCAGGTATTTCCAGTTCTATAAATGATGTACTTTTTTCTAACAGTAAGTGAAGCACCCCAGAGTGTCAAAGCTAGGCTGAAGAGGCAGCTGTATGGACATTTTGCAGACATCCTCTTACAGGAAAGGTGAACAGATGCAGGAATTAGATGCCTTGTTTTAGTAGCTAAATTATTCTGGGAATATTCCTAAATGGTATCAAACACTTAAATGACCTAACTTCTGGCTTTCACAGATGACTTCGTCCTGGACAAATATTGGATGAGAACAGGCTGGGGCATCAGGGGAAATGTTTTGTATCCTAAGACAATTCCTGTCCAGTTTCTTTCTGTCTGGATGCTAGTATGTTCCAACCTAATGTTGCTTGCTCAGAAACAGCACAGCTGGCCAATTAGCTCTGGTATTCGGTGAGAAGGGAATGAGGAAGTATACTTCATGCTGTTAGGGCACAGTGACACTGATTACAAACATGTATATATATCCCTGAGAATCTAGCCATGGCTGTTCTGACACAGCTGGATGATAAGAACATTTAAGCTGTCTGGAAATACACTACTATTTCTAACCTGGTAATGTGCAAGCAGCAACCACAGAGGAGCAGGGACACAAGCAGTCTGTGGAATTCAACAAATTACGGGATGGAGAGGATTATTTAGATGGCACTTCCAATGCCAAGACACTAGAGAAGGGCAGGGAATGAGTCTCTGAAAATAGCAGTCAGGCAGCTTTAGCTGAGGCAGAAGCATATCTGGTTTGTTACAAGCTTCCCTTCATTGCTATTTTCAGAGTTTCCTATGTGATTACCCCAATTTATCCCGCTCTTGTCTATGAGGTTTTTTGATGGGAGGAGGATGGAGGAAGAAGAAAGGTAGTTTGCAACTAAGCAGATTATAATATTCTATTTTAAAATATTTACTCATAGAATCCAACCCATTCGGGTCCTGAGTGGGGTTTTAAGACATTTAAAAATGTATATGTATGTATATGAGTGCACATGTATATACGTGTGTGTGTGTGTGTGTATATATATATATATATATAAAAATGTGTATAGAGTGATTTTAATTAGCCTAAGTCAAGAAGTGAGAAGAGAAAGAAGAACCTGGAGGTATTTTTTGATTGCAGTAAAACATCTTTTTTAAATTATTTTATTTAAACAGTTCCTTTATTCAAAAATGTAACAACTCCATTGTTTTTTATTTTTCTGTTTTCTCAAGATTCCTTCTCTACACTCCCTCTAGTGTTCTTAAATTCAGTTGCATTTACTCACCCTGCTGTATTCACTTAGTATTTCACACAACATTAAGTTCATTTTCCTTAGCCTTTCAATAACCTACAGGAAAATCTCTGAAAGTTACACTAACTTTTCTGAATATTTTTCTCCCTGCAATGACAGAAGAAATACAGATTAACAGATGAAAGAGAGAGTAAAGTGTAAAATTAATTCTGAAACAGCATTTTGTGCTTCCTTGGTAGGTAAAGGGGAGGACTTGGTGTTGAGAAAGAAAGAAGATTTTGTTTGCAACAGCTAATGCAAGATTCATAGACAATGGACAAGAAGGAGAGTTGCACTAAAAGACCACTTACATGGATCTCTTCCTGCTACTCTCTCTAGCAAATACACAAACTACCTTCAACATATACACATACTGATTACTTCAAGCATATAAAAGCAAGATGTGAATAAGAACTAGGTTTTCCTAGTCATCTCCCCATTTCATGGGATGCCCTGAAGGGATAGCAATTAGATGTAGTTTCTGTTTGTCCCATCCTTATGTTTTAAAAAAAGAAAGGGAACAAAAAGGACTGGATTAATAATTTTTATTAAAAAAAAAAAAAAAAAAAAAAAGAAACAGAGATAAGTAAATTCCCTCAAAAGCAATATTTCAAGGTAACTTTTTGTTTCTCCTCCATAACTGCAGTTTTAATATTTATTTTACATTGCTATACACCTGGCCACAACTGAAGAATAGAAAAGACCTAAGCAAATGTGAAAATGAAACAAAACTCTCTTCCCAGGGTAGAATTTTTTCCTATAATATTTTTGTATTGATTTAAAACTAAACCATCTAGAAGCACTACAGACTCAAACCAAACACACAACACCTCCCAAATATGAAAATAAAGTTGACAGGATTCTCCCACCTTGCCCCATCTTAATGAAAGTCAAAATTTAAAACAAAAAGAAAGAAACAGCTTTGCCACTAGGCATCTGTGATCTTCTATTCATTATATTGAATACTTGGCATCACTTGTACTAAATGACAGATGTTACAAACCCTTGTTCTATGGATAATATTCAAACCAAAATATTTTAATTGGATCAAAAGAAATGTAATAAGAAAGAGAAAAGAGATAAAAAGCTGTTTCAGAGCAACTCATTAAAATAAACAACTTTTATCAGCAAATCTGATGATTTACCACCAATTATACATAAGTATCATGAGTGTTCATTCACTGTATAACTGAAAGTTCTGCTTCAACTCTTATGTTTCACAAGGATGTCAAATTAAAATTGGACTTATGACAATTTTGTTAGCTTATCACCCATTCAATCAATTTTAAAAGGCAGAATCTTCTCATTGTTCTTCCCCGAGACATCACAATTGTCCCCTAAATGTTGACCCACCTTTATACACTAAAAAAAATTGGTCCTTGTTAGTCTATGCTTTTATATTGGCATATTCACTGTTTAAAACATATAGAAAAAACAGTTAATCAATTTCTGTTTAATGGCCATTTTTGATTAATAAAAGAAATGCACATTTGGAGGTCATAGATTTTAAAATTATGTTGTTACTCATGTTTATTTCACTATTTTCTATGTAATTTAAAATGTATATATTATGTGCTAAAGTTCAGTAATCTTGAATTATTTACTTGTAACATAAAGATATCAAGTCCTGATTTCTACATTGAATTGACACATTTCAGCAACAGAAAACAGAGGCACAACTAGCGTTTCTACCACAATGCTGATTCCTTATTATATGCAGTAAACCCATAATAAATGCTTTACCATGCAGACTTACAGTGCTGTCAATATATGCTTCAGTCCATACTACATCATGCTCTTGGTCAATAACCTTTGGTCGGCTAAGAACATGGAGATACTCCATGACATTCTCTTGAACATCAGCTAAAGTAGATATCTGAGTAAAAAACCCTGTGGAAAGACAGAATTCTAAGTTATAAAACAGACAGAACAAATTAAGGAAGATTGCAACAAGGAGTATGCTGGGGTTTACGTTTGTCATGTTTTCTGCCTGTTCATTTAAAAAAAAAAAAAGTTTCATAGGAAGCAGTCTTGAACAGTAATAATCGGTGTAAACAGAAGTCTGCGACACCTTCGGCCAATCTTGAAGGACTGGGTTCCCAGCATTGCTCTGAACCACTGCACTACCTGTCCTAAACCATTTCCAGAAAACTTTTGCTGTTTAATGGTAAAGAAATTTGGAGGTTTGGGGTTGGTTTGGGTTTTTTTGGTTTTTTAAATGCTGCAGACTTTAAAAGTTGGAACTAGTATTAACTTTGTCCAACAATGTCTTGTCTAGTTTGTCCAGTTTCAAGAAACATTACAGATTAGAACTACAGTAACAAAACAGTAGTTGCATATGCTCTAAAATGCTCATTCTCATAGAACGTGACTAAATATCAGACAATAGCAGTATGTTATTAACAAATGGTAGGTCTCAGAAAATGTAGACTACAACTAGAATTGCTTAGCTTAGTGATCACAACTTTGTTAAGCCTTTAAAACAACTCCTACAACCTGACAGCATTGAGAACAGCACAGGCCCCAGCTATTGGAGCTGTCACCACTTCCTTTTCAGTGCTTGGATGTCAGTCATCTTTATATATCACAAACTTGGCATCTGGAGCCCACATCATGCAAGGGTGACAAAGGACTGACAAATTTCAAGGCTATAGTTTCATTGGGCTCTATTTAAATACATCACTTCCCCTTCGTGTACTTTCCTTTTCTTTAATGAGAAAATATCAATGTGGAATTTTTGTGAAAGAGGTCTTGTTACAATTGAAGTCTTTTGACAAGATCACAATTTCTCTGGAGTTGGAATATTAAGCTTCAGCAGAAACCATGTCAGCTGCAAAGAACTTTTGAGCTGGGTTTATTGCAGACAGGACCAATTTTGGCAAGATTGCAAGGGTGCTCTGTAGTCTGAACATTAGAACTTTCTGATTCAATACAGTTGCCAATAATTCTTGCAGTACGAAATTGATATTTCTATATACATTTCATCTATGTATTCATTAAGACACAGTGTAAGAACAGACTTTCTAGTAGAGATCTATAAAATGAAACGAGTCATAGTAGCAGCTTAACACATTAAAAGTTAATTCAAATTAATAAGAAAATACAGAGGTAGGGGTTATTTTTAAAGTTAATTTGATTATATTACAATCTCAAATATTCCTAGTATAATATTCATACTCATAGTATAGTATTCAAACTGTTCAAATTTTCAATATTCTGCTTAAGGAATTTCATTTATGTGAATTTTTGTTTTTTCCTATTAAGTCCAATATTGCTTAAGGACACTGACTACTGCATAAACTATCAAGGTATGCTTCAAAACAGGGCTATTTTTTGTCTAAGGTTCTGAAAGCTTTTTCAGCTATAGAGTAAAATGACTGACATAAGTTTAATCAGGAAATCTGTACTTGAGAAAGTGGAATTCTATGTGTATGGTGAAAAAAATTATAGTGTACTTCCGTAAATTATTGGTTTATGGGGAAAAGGCAACATGTACATTACTCTCTACAATATACTGCTTGCTCCAATTTTGGGAGAGCTGAATCTCCCAAGTCAAAGTATGAGTTTCTCCCTCCTGTGAGTAATATGGGACACTTCACTATCTGGTCATTCTAATTTGGTATAAATTTCCATACATAGTCAAAATATTATTATTTGCCAATATAAGCTATTCATATAGGGAAACTCATAAATTACATACATACATGAAGGTATGTATATGTACACACTGTGGTTTATAATGCTTTTAATCAAGGTTTCAAAATACTTCAGAACTGTGTGGATCACTTATTTTACAGGTGATGACCTACATTTTCCTAAAGCAGTTCAGAATGCCTGAATTTTGGTATGTCTTATTTCAGAAAGCTTAAAAAAGAACTAATATTCAGAGGCCATATTCAGCACTGTTCCCATGTTTCCAGTTACATACTTAAAAGCACAGGCCATTCAGAAATTTAGAAAAATTAAACAGAAGCACAAATAGACTAATCAGCCTTTTGCTTTTCTTTCTCCATCTGAGACTAGTGTACAATGGCTATAAGTGAGGAGTAAGACACTAAAAGGAAAGAGCACAAACTCTGCTCTTTTATCTGTGGGAGATTTAAATCAGGGCATCTCGACATACATTCAACTCTCCTTTTACCAAACACATACTTTCAGTTGTGCCGTGGACAAGCTTTTAAGTTGTTCTTAAAGGGCAGATTTAGTCACTGTTTCGTTTCAGTTTTTTCTATACAATCTTACATCACCACTCCAATATTTTTTGTTGTGTTGAGTTCATGTACTTTTCAGTGCATGTTATGCCAGTACTTGCAGTTCTCTTACAACAGCGTGCAAAATTATCGGTGAAGCAGAGACCTGCAGGCACTGAGTAGTGTACAGTGCACAAGAGGATTACGCCTGCACCTAAGCACTTCATATATATATATATACATATATATATATATGAGCATACTGAATGATGCCTGAAAAGTTAGAGGAATTTAACTACTTGAAAAAATTTCTATTGCATCTAAGGTGATAGAAAGGTCTTTTTAAATCAAGCAGTATTTTCTTACTCATACAGGTTGAAATCACAATTAGTTAACACTCTTGAATGTCATACTTCATTAAAATCAAAAACCTTAAAGACTCATTTAAGAAGCTCCTGCATGTCTATGCCTGGAAAATTCTTTAATCATAGCCTATAAATTACCCTTGAGATAAAGAATACCTTGCTGCACAACAAGCATGCGTTCTGATTGCCTCCTGAAATGTTTTTATGTCAGTTTTTCAAGGGAAAAAAGGTAGCTAGATTACTCAAACAAAAAGGAAAAAACAAAAGCAAAAAACAAACCAGAAAGAGAAATCAGAACCCAATCTGAAACACTTCAGTGTTGTGCCATACAGGTTTATACATGTTACAAGACACTAATAATGCTGAATATTTCTTTTCTTCTTTTCCTTCATTTAGAAGAGATCCATCTGGACCACGTACAGCCAACATGAGCAGGCACACCTACTTAAGCACTTCTTTGTAACCATTCTTCATATGGATGTCTATTACTTTAGGTATTTCTCTTCGTAGTATTTCTGACAATGCATGCTGTCATATCACAGCTTGCACAGAACTCTCCAGGCAGCATGCCACAGACAAAGTATTTATTACTTGTTGTAGTACTCACAAACCAGATCTCTAAACTACACAATAGAGAAAACAGGTTTTAGACTAATTTCCTAAGACTAAAATAGATGGTGAGTAGGTCTGAATCAATTTCATATAAACTTAGCAACAAAATAAAGCTCTCGGAGAAAAGTGAAAATTTGTGACTATCCTGAGATTGAAAGAAGTGACATTGAGCATCCTATTTGGAAGCAACCAGATGGTAAATCAGCAGATGTATACTGGCATGCTTGGAGTTGCAGGCTAGAAATGCAATGCTCCTTCCCCAGTGAATGTGACAGCTAAAGAAGTCAAGGTTAGCAAATGGAAGAAAAAGGGATTTGTTTGGAAAAAAAATCCTGATTTTTTAAATCATATATGTTTTACACAGATTTATTAATGTATAAAGCTGCAACAGATGAAAAGTTGAAGGAAAGACTGTGTTAGAGACTTGATTCCTCTTATTCAGGTTGCTTCAAATAACTGAGTTTAGTGAAATGTAAAAATTGCTGCTAAAGATATGTAAAAGACAAGACTTTGATTAAGATGTTGTCATAAGACACAACCATATGGATTCTCTCCAGGGTTTTTTATAATGTGATCTCAGGGGTGGGTTTCATTCATAATTTCTGGGAAGAGTTGTTCCTTTCTTGCATTGAAGATTTTATCTGTTTACTCTCCTTATAAATATGGTTTGTACTTCTGCAGCTCACATTAGAAAAATCTACAATAATTTTACAGTTTCTGTAACTCATGCAATATGAACAATTACCTATCTTCTGTGAATTTATGGTTCATCTATTTACTTTGTTTCTACAAAAAGTTGTTTCTTTAAAATTTACCTTTCTTTACAACAAAGTGAAAGGAATTGCAAAAGATACATGAATGATACTTCCCATATTTTTAATGTTTGTTCTAGCATTTATTTTTCACTTTTGTCCTAATGGGAAAACTCTACCAAAAGTTACTATATTATAGCTAGGGACAGCATTAGGTAACATTCTCTTAGTTCATTTTCAGTGTATAATTAGACTTTTTAATGATTTCTATGTTTGTGGCTATGTGTAACATGCCAAACCTCAAAGAATCAGCTTTCCACACTGACTGCTAAATTTCTCTCTCCTATACAGAGATCAGAGGTACCTCATGGATTTAAAAACTCTCCTCTTCCTCTGTGAAAGTTTCATCATCAGATAAAGTCATACTCTGAAGTTCTTGAGTACAGTTTCTGAGGCCATGTAAGAAATAGTAGCAAACCCATGCTTAAATTTTTGCATTCTAACACCTGCTTCTCAGCTCCCTGGTGTGTGAATTATGCCACCTTACAGCCAAGTGCTTCATTTTTTTTTTTTTCTCTCCCCAGCAGGAAATAATTCATGAAGGAAATGGGTAAGATTTGGTAATAACAAGCACAAGATATGTATAAAAATGTGGTTAGAGACAGACACTTATGCTCTCCAAGTGGGCTGCCTCTTCATATTACACAGTCCTTCCAATGTTTTTGGGTGGCTCATTTTTCTCCAAAATGTCCACCATTAGTCTCATAAAATAAAAATGCCTCCAATGGATTTTTATACGGAGTGCAGTACTTACCATTTTCTGGAAACTGTGCAAAATAGATATTGCAAAATATTCTCACAACTAATAAAATATCAGAACTAAAAAATCCTCTTTGGGTTGAGCCTAAGGAGGGAATTCATTGTTTCACTGCAGCTGTAAAACTCCCACAGAGAATACCTCCCTGCCCCCCCCCACCTAAGAGGCCTCTCAAGCAGGTGAACAGTATTTGTAACTGGCTGCCTGCCACCCCCCCAAGAGCCCACAGTGCACGAGGTGCTGGGGTCATGCTAATAATGGGAATGGATGTGACTGGAGCTTCCTGTACACAACTCTGTTCTGCTAATACAATAGTCTATAAACTGCTTCAGCTGGGGCACAATTTGCCTCAGGGCTGATCTGTCCTCTGCTGACAGTTAGAGAGCTGCTATCAGACCTCCAAAAGGCAAAGCATTTTTCTCTACATTGCTTTGTCAACCTCTGCTCCTTTGTACTGAAGAATCCTCTCCTTTTGTCCATTTTACAATGTGCCAACCACATTGATGGTCTGTAATAAAAAAATTTAAAAATAATAATTGAAAAAGAGGCTGTCAAATTATTAATGCCATAGAGAATTTTACTGGGGAAAAAAAAAAGTTTAATCCTGGTTGTTTTGTTAGCAAGTAATGCATTAACTCTCATCTTTATCTTTACAGCTTTCCTCTGGAAGTGACTGCTGAGGGAAAGGTAGTGCCTGCTTACTTTAAAATCTGGCACATGCATGCTAAGCACTAGGAAACTTTTACCTTTGTTCACTTCAGAATCTCAGCAAATCTTTATTCCTTTCCTTTATGTGCACTTGCTTATGATACAGAAGAGTAAATCACTGCAAATTTCACAAACCGCTCTAGAGGGACTTGGGGGTTAGTCAGTGTTTTAATGTATTTAAAATGGTTTGGTGTTTTGCTTCATTAAGCCAACTCCCTCTAGATATGCCCTACTTATACATTAAAACGTAACAGAAAAACATGCTTGGGGTTTTTCAGGGTTTCATTATCAGAATCTAGAAACTAAAGAAGTTTTGCAAGGTGGTATGAATTTCCCCTGTGACCCATTTTGAAGGAAAGGACTGCTGTCCACAGTCCAGTCAGCTGGAAACTCTGCAAACAGCCTTCATCTATGTTGTGCTTCCAAGGGGAAAATCACTGCAAGGAAAATTGATTTTAGGGTCATTGACCCTCAGTGACAACAACATACTTTGGCCCACCCATGCAAGTAGTAAACTGCAGTCTAGCCATTCAGCCAATCTTTAGACCAGCTTTACTACACTCTTTATCTGTTGTGTTGTAATCCTTCATTTCACTAAAAGAAAACGGATGAGCTGTATCTGAAAACTAAGAAAAAGATCTCAATCCATACTGTCTGGCATAATGACGTACACGGTCTCTAATTGAGATTTTCAAAGCTATCAAAAAGTATTTAATTACTGATTTAAGTAGATTTTTGCATTGTAAGATGTAAAAGAGTAGGTATTGTAACTATTAAACTGAAAAGAAAAAAAAATTATAGAAGAAAGAGCCATTAAGCTGTTTAGTTGATTCATATGAATAAGATTCTGACTTAAAGCAACATGGCTCCAAAAAGAACAAAGTAGTCCTGAAGAATGACAAAGGTGACCACTTTTCCCCCTCTGGAAATAAGGAAGACGTGGAACAGATGATCTGCTAAGGCAGTCTCTATTGCCTGGTCCTAATTTCTGAGTTGCTGTACTTAGATCTTTATGAATCTGTAGAGCTGAGAGCTGGGTTAAAAAGCTAAAAGATTTTGTTGATTAAATTGTCTTCAAAAAGATGCTTCAAAGGATTCTTATACTATTATTTAAACTAAATTATGGTGTAATATTAGCTGATTAAGACAAGACTTCAAACTGAGTAATTTCCATCAGCTGGACATAACGGTAGTTAAAGAAATAATGACTAAATGGATAGCACCTGATGCAATTCATAATAATGTAATGTGGCACAATGTAAAAAAAGAACTTTTTTTTTTTTTTCCCAAGAGGAAAGGAAAACGAAAACCCTGAAGATTAATTAGGGTTTTGGGGCTTTTTTCTGAATCATTCTTACTTACATTAGTCAATCTTTTTATTGTAGCATCTCAGCATCCTACATGTTTTAATGCTCCTTCCTTAAAGAATATAAAACTGTTTTTCAATTACACTGTCAGTTCCTCACGGGACAAGATGTCTGGTGTTTTACATACCGTGCCTAACTCAACAGGACTTGTATCCAATGTTCTTAGGAACCAAACTAATTCAGACTAAATAATAAAAGTTCTAACAGAACAAACACTTTGAAATGTAAGTTTTTCTTTCAACAAAAATTTAAGAACACATAGTTTAAAATCTTCCTATATATTTTAAGATTTAAAAATGCATTTCAAATTGGTTTTTGCTTTCTAAATTGTATATTACAAGATAAATAAGCCTTTTCCTTTCCTGGAAAAAAAACCCAACCCTTTCTCTCTGATTAGTTGTCAGTGACACCGTACCTGTACAAGGGTCAGATATGCAGGAAGGCTCAGTATTAGGTTTTTGAAAACAAGTTGAAGGTTAACTAACCTTTGTTAGCACAGGCCATCCACTTCAAGTTATCAGCAAAAGCAGCTTCTCTTCCAATCAGATAGGTAAAAATACGAACCTGAAAGTACAATGCAAAATATCAAGTCAATTAATACTGCATTTAAAACTTCTACAGTGGAAATTCAGATCTAGATGTGTAATCCATATGGACAGACCCTTTTAAAGAAAGTATTACCAGTTAAACAGCACAGTATGTTAAAAAAAAAAATCTCTGCCATTAACATCTTCATGACAAAATGTGGCTTTTTTTCTATGTAACAGAATGGCTAATCTCTCTGGACGTGTTTAATATCTGACATTTAACTAAAGTTATGGTTAAAGTGTAAGACAAAAATGGAAACCATTGGGGTACAAGGCAAAACTGCATGTTTCAGACAAATTTGTTCTGCACTTACTCAGAAACTTGCTATGGTGAGGAGGAAGAGGCACATAATTAGCAAATGCTTCTGTAGAAAAAGGATCTGAAACACCCATGCAAACGAATTCCCCTCAGTTTTCAAGGTTCATATGACACAGTATCTTTGGCAACTTAGAGACAGGTACCCACACACAGCACTTGATAAATAGCAGAATCACATGAAAGTTGACACATTTCTCAGACAGAAATATCTGTGCAAAAACGTGTGCAGCTGGTCTATGCAAGTGCATGCAGACAAACATATACACAGAGACCTTCATCCAGAAATCCCAGAAAATTACTGCTTTCTTTAAAATTCTGTCTAGATAAAATTTCTTGGCAGAGAAGAAGGACATACTTTGGAAATGCTGGATGCAGAGTAGGCCTTGATAGATACTAAATGATAACACTTGTTTGTCTGGACTCCACAGTCCCATGTTATAATATATGCACAACTGTGGTTTCGAGCAGCTTCAGACAGCTGCCATTAAGAAAGCAAAGGAAAGATTTTAGTGAAATATTTCTCTCTTTACTATACCATTTTCTCAGTTTGTTCTTATCAAATAGAAATAGGTTCAGGGTTGTGTTATTTTACAAGCCTTGAAAACAGCTGAAAATTTGTCCTTACAGTAGAGTGATGGCAGCATTTTCTACCTCATACCTTCTGCTCTCAACTCTGTTCTATACATGGGAAACTACAGAAAAGATAATTGAATGGGTTTTAGCGAGCGAAACAGGGAATGGGAAAGGGGTATGTTGTCCAGAGCTTCCTCTACCTCGCTAATACAAGTTTGCATGACACTTGCAGCTCCTCTGTTCAGATTGGATCTGTAACCGCCTGTGTGTGTGCTGAGCAAAGAAATCACTGTCCTAGGACCTAGCATATATTCCATTCAGGAATCTCACACAGTTCCATACCTTCTTAATCTACCATCTGATATAGCTGGGTAAGGTGGAGCATAGTGAGCCTCACTTGATCCAGTGAAGCTCCCAGCAAGAGAATTGGGAATAGCACCTGACATCTTACAGCTAAAGTTCATATTCTGCCCACTGTAGCCCTTGCCATGCTAAGGCTTATGCCTCTTATTCCACGTGCCTAAAACTTCCACAACCATTTTCCCATTCCCTAATGATAGGTTAGCAAGATTAATACAAGGTGATTATTCCCCTCTATTCTATTGTAAGACCAGATTTGGAGTTGTCCAGACAAAAGAGGCCAAGTGCATATTGGATCATGTTAGCAAGATTAATACAAGGTGATTATTACCCTCTATTCTATTGTAAGACCAGATTTGGAGTAATGAGCTCAGTTTTGGATTCCCCCATACAAGACAGACAGTGACATACTGGAAAAGACAGACTCTTCTTGAAGGTAGACTCTAAGAAGGCAACACAGCAAGGAACAAAAGTCAGAAGAAGGTACTAAACAACTCTGATTCAATACAAGGAAAAATATTTTTATCATGAGGGTGATACATTACTAGAAAACACTGCCTAGAGATACTGCAGGACCTGCCATATCTCCCTCCTGGGAGATATTCAAAACCTGACCAGGCAAGTTCCTGAGCAGCCTGATCTAACTTCACCTGCTCTGAGCAGGGGGTTAGACAGGATGATCTTAAGAGGTCCCTTCCAACCTAAATGATTTCATGAAATTAGCAATATTTTATGCGAGAGATTAAAAATTTGTCTGATTTTCTAATAAAATACTTGGTTCTACATTTCATGGATTTTGAAGATAAAACAAATATATAAGTTAGGACTAGAAATTGACAATTTGTAGCTGCAAACATGGTGCTATCATTATGTATGAGAAGAAAGAAAATTATGAACTCGGTATAGTAACACTAAAAACTGTAACTAAATTGCACATCAGATCCTTTTATCTTTTTATCAATATAGGCAGTACAATCATAATTACCTAAACTTTTTTACAGAAACTCTGTTATCATCATTAAAAAGCTGTACATAACAAAATATGCTCCAGAACGTTTTATTCAATACTTAATTGGGTCTCACATTCACAAAATAGAAATGCTTAAATTATACAGAAAGCTAATTACACAGAAAGAAATGTCATGATGTGAGAAGTTTATGAAGACCCATAATTTAATTTACTTACAATTTAAAAAGAAATCAAATATCTAAATTTCTTAGTTTTTTCAATAGCACATTTTCTCAGTCACAGTAGGACAAAAGAAATTATTTGTTGGATATACCCACTTAATATTAAGTTTCTATCAGTTTTTTCACAGAAGAAGTTTTAAAATGTCTTTGGAAGTTTCCCTCTTTACTGTCAGTTGTGATACTGTATTCCCTTACTGCCCTTTTATCCATTTTCTTAATGGCCAGATCCTGTTTCTAGGCATACATGGTGTTTTGCATTATTATCATGCCTAGACACCAGATTTCAATCACAAAACATTTCCCAGTTTTTCAAATGTAAAATGTACATAACTTGATCATGATTTATATAACTTAAAAAGTATACACACTGATTGTGCAGTGTTAGTTAGTTTCAATCAAACAGAATTCATAATCCTACTTTAAGACTCTAAAGATCACAGCATTAAACAGAAGAATGGTACTTTCATGCTTTGTTGATGGTTACAAAAAGCATTAATAAAGAAAATATTTATTCTCTAAACACACACGAAAGAGCACAGGGAGATTTATACCCACAAAATACAGTATAAATCACTGTCACAGTTTATCTTCCTGAAAATGATGCTTGAATATAACCTATGATGAGACTGAATACATCTGAGAGATTTATATTTAACGATCTGCTTTAATCTATAAAGAATCAAACTACACTGTGTTCCTAATAAAAGGAGACCAGCCTTATCTAAAAGGATGAGCAGTAAGTATGATTATAAGTGTAGGCAGCAAACTGCATTAAACTTACAAAAAAAATAAAATTCCAACAAATCGGTACCATAGATCATCATGAGGAATAGGCTGCCTCTGTGACACTGTTCCAAGGATTTAATGATTTTTCTCTGAGCACATTTTATACATATACAGATAGTTGGTATCTGCAGTTTTGTTAGAGAATATTTTAAGCATCATCAAAAATACTGCTAATTGTTTGGCATTACTTGAAAAAAAAAAAATAAAAGCTATAAAGTAGAGAGCCAGCACTGAAGATGAGTGATTAGACTTTAAATGCTGCTTTCCTTCCCTATCCCAGTGAGTTGTGTATTTTCCTCTATGCTCTTCTCACTGTGCATGTTACATAAATTATACTTACCAGTATCAACATGAAGAATAAAATGATCTATAAAATTATACTTAAGGTAAACTATAATTTTAAAGTGCCATTTCTATACTGATCATTTCTTAATAGAATGACTTATTATTCATAGTAGCTTCATAAGAAAATAACCATGTAAGGCCCCATGAAAGCATTTTAGTTGAAAAATAATACCCCTGATATATTAAAGTTCTTATTTTACCTTGACCTTAAAGATATATTAATAGGCATTATGAATATTGTTTAATACTCCGTTCAGAATAGTGAAATCCTCAAAATCAGCTCTGATGGCAAACAATTCTGATTATAGCTTACTTCTAAAAGTTTAATTTGATCACTACATGGAACCTACCAGTGTAAATTTAATTCACTGTGAGCTTGCAGTGGGAAACACTCATGAGTGCCTAATCATTCACTGTAGAAGTAATTTAATGAAGCAAATGCTTGCCATATTATCTTCTGCTTTCAAAGATCACAGCAATGACTTGGGTAATAAATGATTAGAACTGAAACTTTCCTGAATAAGTTTCCATTCTAAATCAATTTTTTTCAAAACAAACTTGGGTCTACATATCTTTTATACTGGTTTTACTCTTCTGGATAGGTATTTTATGTAACAATTCTAGATGTGCTGGTACCATCCATGGTATAATACAAATAAACAGGGAGAAAGTTACTGAGGTCATATACCTGTTTTCTGCATCTACATAAAAATATAACTAAGTCACTATTACAGAAGTACTGCATTAATTTAGTAGGGTAAGTTCAAATTACTTCAACTTCTGCATGTGGACAAAACCTATGCAGTGATGGGCTACGTACGCCACAAAACAGGACACACTGCATCAGAGTTACCCTTGAAATTGTTGTTGTAAATTAACTATACATTAGATATCAGATTTAGAATCCATCCATATTCTCAGATACCATGTGAGATAAGTGTTGTTAGGTTAAAACTGTTTATAGTGACCAACAAATTTTCTTTTTTGTATATTTGAAGTACCTGAATGGGAAGTGTGTCAGAGCAGTTCTGCTCTACAAAATGATTGCATGAAATCATTGATGAAACAATCCAGATACAGCACTATTATTGTACAGTCTACTGATATATATAGTACTGAGGCGTATGATTGAAATATCTATAATTTATAATAGATGAGGAAGTGTAAAGTGTGTATCATTTTGTGGTTTGTATTGGCCCTTAAAGAAAATAACACAATAGAAACTATGAGCTTTAATAGGTGTATACACTATATACACACCTACACACTGATACACCTATATCCATATCTTATGGTACAACACAATGTTAAGACACTAAAAATTATTCAGAATCCATATTAAGTGAACATTTTAGTCAAGGCAGACTGAATAAATTCAAGGTTTTTATGGGCCAGTCCCAGAA